TCCTTGTCTGGCCTTCAGGTGCTTTGGAAAATAGGTTGACCCCCTCCTCTCTGTGACAGCCCCTCAAATATTAGAAGACTGCTAACATGTCTCCCCTGGTCCTTCTCTTCCCTAGACTAGCCATGCCCAGTTCCTGCAACCGTTCTTCATATGTTTTAGCCTCCAGTCCCCTAATCATCTTTGTTGCTCTTCTCTGCACTTTTTCTAGAGTCTCAACATCTTTTTTTATAGATTGCTACAAAGAAGGTGTGATTCTATGGTCCTAATAAATGATGTTGTTTAATCAAAGGAACCTGGAGTGTGCCAACTCTGCCAGATCAAAATAGCTGTACAGATACTGTGGGAGATAGATGGTCCCTCAAGTAACCAAGCCCTAAGCTGTGTATGGCTTTAGAAGCAGTGAATTGCACTGGGAAGCAAGCTGGCCCTCAGTAAAGCTCACGAGGCAGAGGTGTTACATGGGTGTATTGAAGCATGCTTGTCACTCTCTGTGCCATTGTATTCTGGACCAGTTGGAACTTCCAGGTGGTCTTCAAGGGCAGCCCATGTAGACTGCATTGCAATAATCAAGCTGAAAGGTGACCAAGGCATGAATGACTATCTGAAGCACCCCAGGCACAACTGGCACATTAGATGAAACTGTAAAGGTTTTTCTGGCTACAGTTGCCACCTTTCTTTAAGCTGGAACTGCGAGTCCAGGAAGATCCCCAGATTGTGTACCATCCCTGAAAGGGGAGTGCAATCCCATCCAAGATCAAAGATGGAATATCCCCAGATCTGGGTGGCCCAAACCCCAAAGCCATTTGGCCTTGGGCTGGAGATGTTTCTTCCCCATCCAAGCCTGTATAACAATCTGTCCAGAGTGGAGATACTCACAAGGTCCAATTCCATAGAAGATGACAAAGAGGAAGATGAAAATGACACTCAAGTAATGCATCCAGGAGAAGCGATGCTAGAATGAAAAAAGGCTCCTTTAAACATAACAGCAACCACACACTGATTCCTAAGGCAATTGGAGATTTGAGGTGTCAAATTGAGTTAAGGGGACATTTGGCCCTCCTGATCTAGAATGGGGCTCCAGAAATATGCCCCAAAACATATCTGAATGTTCTTCCTTTTGCCATCCATCCCACTTTCATTTTGCTATACCTCACCATTGCCAGAAGCAGATACTTCTGCTTTTGTCAGAAAAAACACTAAAATATCTCTCTTACTTGGAATGAAAGGGTTACTGTGAGTGCAGCCAGCACCAGCACCATCGCAGCATATCCTCCCCATAGTAGAAGTTTCCGCCCAAAATGCTCAATCAGAGAACTCTGAAATGCAGGAAAAGGAAATACAGAGAAAATATATTTTGATGGGCTAATTGTGAGAATGCTAACAATTATTCTCCAAAATCTATTAACAGAATAACAGAGTTGGAAGGGACCTTGGAGGTCTTCTAGTCCAGTCCCCTGCTCAAACAGGAGACCCTAAACCAGGGTTGTCAAACTTGCCACATCACGTGATGTGTCGCAATGTATTGAGAGTTTTTTCCCATTGCCAGAGCTGGGGTGGGTGCAGTTTCTGCATGATGTATCCAGCCCACAGGCCGGCAGTTTGACACCCCTGCCCTAGACTATTTCAGACAAATGGCTGTCCAATCTCTTTAAAAAGTGCATAATTGCATCCACACAGATGATGCAAATCACATATCTGTCTCACAGAAAACCAGCTGTCAGCAAAGACTAATGGGGCCAGCACCACCTACCATCTTCGACCTGACTCTTGAGAAAAAGGAACACATGGTTCTCCCCATCTTTAATAAGGTCCCCCCTTCTTGCCTGTCCTCTTGAACTTACACACAGAATGGATGAGAGGCACTCGCAGATGCCAACACCCAGTGCAATGTATGGAATGAGGGATTCTTCAAACTGGGCTGTGCGAAAAACTTCAAATGAGTAGAAGTAGATCTAGAAAAGAATAAAAAAAATGAGAAGATAGCCAGTGTTTTTAGAAGGGAAGGAAAAGGAAAGAAAAGAAAGGTTATTATTATTTTTTTTTAGGAAAGGGGCCTTGGATCCAGTTAATAACACCTCATTTTAAGTAGGGGAGACTAATGTCCAAATCAGCCTGCAGCAAATAAAAAGGCCCAGAAACATTTTTTTTCTTAAATGGTTCTATGATCTTGCAAACCTGGGTTTTGTGATGGGCTGAGCCACAGGTTGCACTACTCTCTGCCAATAGTGACAAGAGGACTGCAGCCATTGTGGGATTTCTTTGAGCAAAGACTCAACTGCATTGATGCCACACAGCTGCAGAGTGCTCATGACGGTGATCATCACATACAGTTGCCAGCGCAGTGATTGGGCCTTTAGCACTTCCAGGACTCGGAGACTTTTCGTACAAGACATGGCTGCCTTTTCCCTTTTGATGTCATCAATCTCAGCTTGATGGTCACCCTCACCCCAGAGCTGTTTGATGGCTGTGGAAAGAAAGACACACATGATGGCACCCTTGTGTCCCTTTGCCCACTTGGGTGATCCTAGGTCAATGTACACTTTAGCAGATTGATTTATGGATAATAAATCCATGAATCTTGTTGTGTATTAACCCAATTTCATAGGGCTGTTAAAATGGTTAACTAAAGATGTTCAATTCAAATCTTTAACTGACTGTATATATATATATATTGCAAGCCTGTGTTTTAGGCAGGAATGTATGCTTTAAACTCATTGGCTGTCGCCTAGTGGCGGTCCATATAAATAAGAGTCAAGCGGCTGTTAGACAAGCTGTTACTTTCACTACGGTCTCTTCAATGCCTCACTGGTCCCAGTATATAACAGTGGCGATGAGGATGGGATATGCTGCTAAGGAAGAAAGAACTGGAGGTCTAAGAGCTAAGAGTCCCTAAGGGGTAAGACCAGGCATCAGCGCCCTGGTAGGAACAGCGTTCTCCCCTTCTGCCTGCTAGCAAGCCACGCTAGAGGCACCACTATCCTAAGGGATCCGTGCCTAAGATTCGCACAGAAGCCCTTAGCAGCATAAGGCATTGAGAGACTGTAAGGACCCACTTCAATCCACATTTTAAGAAAGCAGAATTCTTTGAAACGGTCTCTTTCAACAGGAACTTTTATTAAAAGAAACTGATAGCGAGCATGATAGACAGGATCTGAGGGATTCCCTTACAATTCGATGTTTTAAAGTGTACCTAAGCAGCCCCCCACCCCGCAGTTCTTCCGGGTGATTCAAATCAGCAGATTTCTAGGTGTTAACTCCGGGAGAGATAATATCAATCCGCTCCATTGGCACAATCATTCAACATCTCCTCACACAGATCCCAGATGCTGCACCTTTCCCTCCCCCTTTCTCTCACTGGCCGTTAAGGGAGGAGAAGTTCAGAGGAGCATAGGATAAAAGGCAAATGGCTACATTGTTATGGTTAGCAGATCCGAAGCGAATCAACAAAAGGTTACTTTGTAGTGAATAGAGGAAGTGAAAGTCATAAAACCTCCATGCATACCCCCCTCCCCCTTAGTAGTATGGTAGAATCCAGGAGAGAGTAAAATTGGGTTTATATCAGAGAAGATAGATAGAAATGAGATATAACTGGATTCTGACATCCTGTCCCCCTTAAAAATAAGAGAGATCCACCTGTAAAGAAAACAAAACAGGTATAAAAGTTAGTCTAGCTTGTTAGGATACTTTGTATGAAACTTCTTTAACAGTTTCGGGTCTCTGACATGACATTTATGAACCCACTCGTTTTGTGAGGAGGGGAGGTGTTTCCATGCTACTAGGTATTGAATTATTCCATGATATCTCCTAGAGTCTAGGATTTCCTTTATCTCGAAGTGTTGTTCTCCTTCCACCATGATTGGAGGTGGTGGTGGGGAATTTTGGCTGTAAGGGTGACTGTTGTTCTCTTTTCAGCAAACTGCAGTGGAAAATTGGGTGAATTTGCCTGAGATTTTGGGGTAATTCTAATTTTACTGTTACTGGGTTTATGATTCAACTCTTTTTTTATCTGCTTGTGCTTTGTATGCTTGCCTAGCTTCGTCTAGGGCTTTTATAACTATTGGCCAGGTGTTTTGTAATTGTTCCATCCATTCTTTCAGTGATGGGATCGCCGGTTCGTTTGGGATTAGTTCTGGCATGGGGTTGAAACTTTGACCGGTAGCTATTTGAAAAGGAGTGTAACCTGTGCTGGAGTGGACTGCATTATTGTAGGCAACTTCTGAGAAAGGGAGTAGGTACGTCCAATCTAACTGCTGGAAATTAATAAAGCATCTTAAATATTGCTCAAGTACTGAGTTAGATTTCTCTGCTTGACCGTTCCCTTGAGGATGATGACTAGATGTCAGTCCCTGAGTGGTCCCTAAAAGGGATAAAAATTCCTTCCAAAATGCAGACATAAATTGCACTCCCCTATCAGATATGATGCATTGGGGTGCCCCATGCAATCTGTAAATATGCTGTACGAAACGTTTCACTAAGGCTTTTGCGGTGGGAATCTTTTGGCAAGGGATAAAGTGCACCTGTTTAGAAAACAAGTCCATGACTGTCCAGATGACAGTATTCCCATTGCTTTCTGGTAATTCCACTATAAAATTCATGGCTATTTCCCTCCAGGGGGCTGAGAGATTTGCCACTGTTTGTAACAGTCCGGGCGATTTCCCTTGCAACCTCTTTGCAGTTGCGCACATTGGGCAGCTGGCCACATAACTTTCTATGTTCTTTTTCATGGATGGCCACCAAAATTGCCTTTTAATTAAGTGTAATGTTTTTACAAATCCAAAATGCCCTGCTGCTTTTGTGTCGTGGCAAAGCTGCATGAATGTGACCCTCTGGGTGGTTGGTATATATAACATTTTCCCCACCCAAGGCAGTCCGCCCATAATTGTGCACACATGTCTATTTTTCTAGAACTATTCATCTGTTTCCAAAGTTTTCTGGAATTCAATTCCGGTTTGGCTACCCAGCTGCGATTTTAATTTAGCTTAGGCTCTGGTTTAGAATTGGTGGCTCGCGTGCTGTTATATTGGGACATGTGAGATAGTGCATCTGCCAGGAAGTTCTTTCCCCCCGGCAAGTGTTTGAGCGTAAAGTTGAATTGGTGAAAATGTTGGGACCAGCGGGCTTGCTTAGGGTTGAGCTTCCTGGGTGTTTTCAAGGCTTCCGGGTTTTTGTGGTCTGTCCACACCTAAAAAGGGATCTTATTCCCTTCCAAGAATTGGTGCCACATAAGTAATGACCAACGTATCCCATGTGCCTCTTTCTCCCACACGGGCCAGCACTGTTCCATTTCGGTGAGTTTCTTGGACGTATACGCGCAGGGTTGCAATACCCCTTCATTGTTTTCTTGTAATAGTACAGCCCCCACTGCCACATCACTTGCATCTGCCTGTATTATGATGGGCTTATCCATGTCTGAATGCCTCAGTACTGGTTCGGCAGAAAAGAGTCTCTTTAATCTCTCAAATGCTGCTTGGCATTCCATTGTCCATTTTAGTGGCTGGCTAGGTTTCACTGAGGATTCTCCCTTCGTTTTTAGTAAGTTCGTGAGGGGCAGGGATATTTGGGCAAATGAGGGAATGAATTGGTGGTAAAAGTTTGCGAAACCGAGGAAACTTTGCAGTTGCTTTCTTGTGCGAGGTGGTGCCCATTCTAATACTGCTCTGACCTTCCCTGGGTCCATTTCAGTGCCCTGTGGGGATATGCAATAACCCAGGTAGTCTATTCTTTCCTGATGGAATTTGCATTTCAATAATTTGGCATATAGGTGGGCAGCTTGCAGTTTCTTTAAAACTGCTCTGACTAGGTTGACATGTTCCTCTTTGGATTCGGTGAAGATAAGAATATCGTCTAAATAAACCAGGACCCCCTTAAATAGGTGCTCCCTTAGTACCTCATTGATTAATTGCATAAATACTGCGGGACCCCCTTGTAATCCAAATGGCAAAACTTTGAGTTGGTAGCACCCCCATTGGGCAATTAAATGTGGTTTTCCATTCATCCCCTTCCTTAATTCTAACACGGTAAAATGCTTCCCTTAGATCTAGTTAAGTAAAAATTCTTCATTCGAGAGGTGTGATAACATGTCCTTCATGAGGGGTAGAGGGTATAGGTTGCTTTCACTGATTGTATTCAATAGGCAGTATTCTATGCATAAGCGTAAAGAGCCGTCCTTCTTTTCTCTAAAGAGGACCAGGATGGCCACTTTAGGCTTGGCAGGTTCAATGAACCCCCTTTCTAGGTTTTTCTTTATGAATCTTTCCATTTCCTAATTCTCCTTAGAGTTCATGGAGTATAGTCTGGGCTTGAGGAGTTTTGCCCCGGGCTTGAATTCTATGGCACAGTCCGTGGGTTGGTGGTGGTGGGATCTCATCCGCCCTCTCCTCACTGAAAACTTCAGCAAGATCTCAGTATTCCTCTGGTATTTCGGGCAGCCCCTTTTCTTCTCCCATGGATTTTTTCTGTTCTTAATTTTGGTAGAGCCCCTTGGGATTTTAAGTCCATAGGGTCGCCCTTCGGGAAATTGATTTCTGCCATCCTCCAATTTACCCAGGGGTTCCATTTCTTTAACCATTCCAGCCCCAGGATCATCGGGCATTCCATGCCTGGGGTCACTACAAACGTTATGTCTTCCTCATGGTTTCCCAGGGATAGGTGGACTGGTAAAGTGGCTAGGGTAGCTGGCACCCCTCCCTGCTATGGACCCATCTAACTGGCCAAATGAGATTGGTTGTTCTAGCCTCCTCACCCGAATGCCCAGATTCCCCACTAGCATCGGGCTAATGAGGCAGTGGGTGCAGTGAGAGTCTATTGAGGCTTTCACCTTGACAGCTTCGGGCATGGAGGGAATTAATATAGTCACTGTCTTGAGGATGGGTGTGATGGGTCCACTTACCAGGGGTTCGCCCTCCGAGCTGTCGTCTGAGGTGTCCACCGGCCCTGCGGTGTAGGCTGGAGTTCCTTCCCCACGTTGGGCAGAGGTTGGGGATTCCACAGCCTCTATCGTTGTCATGGCAGGTTCTTTTGGCTTAGCTGGGGACTTCCCAGATTTACTGGCCGGTGATCTGTCTGGGTTGTGCTCGGGGATTTTCGATCGGCATTCTACAGCCCGATGCCCCTCTCTCCCGCATTTGAAACAGCCCGTTGGTTTCTTGGCCATAGCCAGTGGCTTCACTGGCTCGTGCGTCAGCTCAGACGGCCAGCGGCCCCATGGTTTTCCTCAGCGGTGCCTCTTCAGTAGGTCGATCTCTGCTTCCTCTGTCAGGACATTCCATTCATCGAGTTGGTGGGGGTACCCCCGGGGCAGGCAAGCGTAATACAGGTCGTAATTTAGGCCATCTTTGAAATGGCTAAGGAGGATGTCTTCCGGCCAGTTCAGTTTGTTGGCAATGGCCCAGAATTCTTGTATATATTCGGCTACCAGGCGTCTGCCTTGCCTCACCGTTTTGATTCTTTTGCGCGCTTTGCGAT